CATTCGTCTCCGTCACTTCATCTGCTTAGGTTTTTGCACTTCATTCTTAGCACCCCGGCCATCAGTAGTGGCTTCAGAGTTATTCAGCACTCACTGAGCTGTAACTGAAAGTAAGTTTCGCATAGTAATCCAGGTGGCCACGTAGCGTTTATTATTGTATATACTGTATAGAATATCAGTTGCTGGTATTTTTAAGTGAATGATGTTCAGATGTATTCATGGGTCCCGCACTATTTTGTAAACTTTCTTTATTGCACATGAAAGTATTTTTAATATTAGAATATAAAATGATTACAGGAAGAGGATGCACTTCCTGCAGCCTTCACCATGAGGGCCACTTGACCACTGGTCCTCGCAGTATCTCTCCAGCTCCTCCAGGGGGTGTGACCTCCCCTTGTGATCTGTTTCATTCAAAGCATGAGGCTGCTACAGTGAATCAGGAGCACTGATGTGCTCTTTGTGCAAGCTTTGTATCTACTGTAAAGTGTGCTAAAATATCCTGATAAACTTTTTATTCTCTTTTCTACCTTGGACAACAGCACCTGAAGATGCAAACCAACCCTAAACTGAACAAATCCGTGAAATAATTTTTCTACATATTTACTGGAAATAAGGGAAATATTATAGAAATACATATTTTTGCTGCCATGCTGCTATTGCACTTAATAAGTAAATGTTGAAAAACCTTGATATACCTTGATAACCCTCATTTTCTCCGCTTGGTCGACTTTAATTGCAATTCATGAAAAGTCAAGCCTCTAGTCTGGAAATTTCAGATACAGGCAGTTCGCTGAACCAAAGGGAATACGGAAATTGAAGCTGAAAACAGAAAATTCATTGCCGCTGCAATGGCAGGGATGGCACTGGGGGCGGGGGGTGGATTTCACTGTCCATTAAACAGACCAGACGAAGCATGGATGGCGCCTGTGTGCCCCGGCTCAGCGTGAGCCGCCAGTGCCCTGCCGCTAGCGGTCTGTGTGTGTGGGGGGGGAGCAGCGGCAGCAGGGCCTCGATCCCGGGTCCTTACGTGGTGACAATGGCGCGGTCCTTCCTCTGGCTCTCAGCCCCCGGCTTCTCGCTCTGCACCTCGGCCTTCTTGGGGCCCGCTTTCTTCTGCTTCTTGTTGCGGGCCTTGCTGATGGTGTGCGCGCAGTGTTTGGGCAGGAGCTGGGCAGAAGTGCAGAAACGGGGGACACGGTCAGCAGAATTGCGAAAAGGGGTGAAAAATATGTCGGACCAAATCTCTTTTATTAATGGCTCAGTGATTATTCATGATTATTAGCTCCTAATTCATTGGATTGTCCAACCCCGGTGCCTGCGTCTTTTCTAGATGCTAAAGGTGTGGGAGTAGTCGGTGCCTCAGCCTCAGTCAGTAATGAGCTGATTTAGGTCATTAGGAGATGACTTGGAGGGGAACGTGCAGTCCTCCGGGACTGGAGGCGGACCACCATGCCACACGTGGTCAAGGAGCAGAGCTTACCTGGGAAGAATCCCAGAGGACCCTTTCTCTCTCCAGGATGAGGGCTGGCCACCCTCGTAAACATTTATGTAAACATTTACGTGATTATTTGTGTCATAGAGGTTTTTGAAAGCACAGTCTTTCTCACCTCGTACAGCTTGACTGTACTTTGCTAGTGCTAGGGGAATAAATACAGTTAACCTGTTAAATGACTACTCACTCTGTTGTTTGCAGCACATTGTGCTGTCACCCCAGAGGGTATTTATTGAAACAGGATTTTTGCCAGCATGGGTTTCTTCTTTGTGGTACAACATTTAAATAAATAGAAGCAACTACTGTATTTTTCTGAAGCTCTTGTTTTACACCCTGCAGCCCTGCGGAGGGATCATGTCAGTTCTCAGGAGCCCGTTGTTGCTTGTGCTGGCAAAGGACTCGCAACCGTGCCTCAGAAGCACTCCCTCAGAGGGATGGTATTGTCTTTTCCGTTAGAGAGTGAGAAAAGATGTAAGGAAATGCTGCATCATTACCAGGGTTTTGCAGTGATTTTCTTCAATGAGTTCTCTACTTAGCTGATGAACTCTCTTAACCCTTGGGATAGTTGCTTATAGGACCAAATGTGTGTTAAAACAATACATCTTTTACCTACCGTACAAGTTTAAAGCTGGTAACTTTTGTTTTATTCCAGGCGTGGTTGAGAGTGGACATGAACAAAGGTTGATTGAGGTGCTCAGTCTCCCCACCCACCCACCTCGATCTCCCTTGGCTGTACCTTGTCACTAAGGTTGCACTGCTCAGCGCAGATCTCCATGACAATGTTGCAGGTCTGCTTAGAGATCTCCTCCAGGAGCGTCATGCAGAACTTCAGGCTTTTGCTCTCCAACGTGGAGGTCTGCATGGGAAGAGAGGGTGAGGAAAACAGAGAATCCAGTATTCCCCTTGTGCTGTGCACTCTATTGATTGCACCAAGTAGAATTACAATACACACTCATTCCTGCTTTCTTAACCCTATTCAGGAGCTCCAGGACCAACTGGCTCCAGTGATTTAGATGTTTGATAATCTTGTTGTGTATTGTGGCCTGGGTCTAAGATTTCATGCAGTCATCATCGATCCAGTCACCAACACTGCCTCTTGAGAAATTACACTCTTGGTCTCCAGGCCAGACTTTGCTGCATTACTTGAGTTTTATTATTTAGGATTTATGACTGGAAACATGTTTCAGGTGAATCACAAGAACCTCGATAATGGTCAATAAAAGATCTTTGATGGTAGATGAAGACCATAAAGTGTGATCTTAAGAACATTTTGTAGAGTTTGGAAGGTTTGAGTTCAAAGTTGTGTTGACTGTTTTAGCTGTTATTTGTATTTTCTTGTTAGACCTGAATATGAGAACACATTTGCTTGAAGAAAATGTCTGACATGTTACCTACCTTAAAATTTTGTAATTTACTTTATCAGGAGTATAATTTCCTATGCTGTGTACTTCCAGAAACACATTATATATTTAAAAAATACAGTAGCATTTTAAAGAAAAAAATCCAAAACACACAGTAGAAGTCGTGTGAATGTGAATTTATCCACTGCAGCCCTTCGGTTTTCTTATTCATTTCAGTTGGTCAGTTATGGCATCAAGTTCTGAATTGAACTAAAGATTTGCCAAAAATGACAACTTAAATGAAAGCCTTAAAACTTTAAAATTCATATTGACATGGGGTTATCCTTGCTAAATATGTTGAAACGAAGGGATGGAAAGAAGCGAAAAGGTTCCGGGAATGTAACGAGAACCAGAATGAGAACCAAAGACGAGGGAAGTGCATCTTGGGGAAAACCTATTGAAAGTACTGGGGTTCGAGGCCCCTGGTATAAAGGGCCAGTTCCAAGATGGGCGGCCTCACTGGTTTAGCTGGCGTGCTGGTGTACTGACCTCCTCTGGACACATGGCGTGCGAACACTGGCTGAAGTGGGTGCAGGTCAGAGGGAAGGCGATCAGGTAGCGCTGCATTTGCACCTCCTCGATGCTCTGGGCGAACAACTTCTCGAACACGCGCGGGTAGAAGCTGTGCAGGAGCGACAAGGCAGCAGGCCATCAGCTTCCAACAATCCTTAACACGTCGGGCATCTCGCATTACCCCAGCTTCCACTGTCCACCTGTCTTTCATACTGAGGGTGTATGACAATCGCTCATGTGGTTAGTAATGCTATAAACCTATTTTTTGTTAAAGGGATCCCAGAAGCCTAGCCTCTCAGATTATAATTATAATAAACTTTAGTTTAGATAATGCCTTTAAAGGTTACTTAAAGTGCTTTACAGAATGACGCCAACAAAAAAAATGCACAAGGTATACACAATGAGAGGAGACAGTAGATGGATGTACTGAATATGGTAGGAGAAAAGGGGGTTTATAACAGAACCAGTTAAGTAAAGGTTCTTCTAAAGAAGAAGGTCTCAGATGAGTCTTAGTATTTTTCAAAAGGTTACAGTAGATCTTGGGCTGTTCTTCATGTTCCAGAGCTTTTGATGTTGAGCGATTTAAGTGTGAGAGCAGTTGGGAATACTGACAGGTCTTTTATTCACTTGCCTGAGGGAGAGAGCACCTGACATGAAGGAGGAGGCCATCGGAAAGCCCCCTAGCTGGAATGAGGGAGGGTGCGAGTAAGTTTTGCAGGGTACTAATGAGATCAATTTTATATTTATTGCACTATTCAAACCAAATACTGGGAACAGGTATGTGTATGTGTTATGTACAATACACGTGTGTGTGGTAGAGTATGTGTCAGTTTGGCAGTGCAAAATGGCTATTGCTCTGGTTTGTGTTGAGATGACAATTTGGAAAATTCTCATTTGCAAAAATGAGTCATTTAGAACATTAGACTTTTATATTTGTTGCATTCTAGCCTCACAATGATATTTAAAAAATAAGGTCCTTCCTTTCCCAGGGAAGAAAGGGATTTAACTATCAATGTGTCTTTCTAACATTTGTTAGAATTGTCATTGCCTACTGAATGTGTGTGCTTAGCTTACAAATGTATAAGCATTTTTACCAGCTGTAACTATGATTACTGTAACTGTGTGTATTCTGCTCTGTACAGATTATAGGAATAGATACTCTCTAAAGTTGACTGCTTGTCTTAGTTTTCAAGGGAAACTTTTTTGTGGTTTTCAAGGGAACGTTCAGAAGATAGTCAAGAAGTGGTAGGAAGTAAAATTTGTTTATGTCTCCAAAAAGGGGAAATCTGGTATGTCGGAAATCATTGTGCACTTGTGAACCTTCATTTTGGCAGCCTTAGTGAGCTGTTGCTGAAGAATGGTGTGTTAAAACTCCAGAATTACTGTACAGCCTGTCTCTAGGAAAGTGAACTAAGTTGTTTTTTAAGAGCGAGGATGAGGCACTGACCAGAGGTTTGAGAGGTCAGAGGTCTCCTGGCAGAGGCCTTCTATGTTGTCCATCATCATGGTGTGGAAGACGATCATGTTCATCAGCCTGGCCAAGTCTGGCCACTCTCTGATGCTCAGGGGAGCCTTGGACACACTGGTGTATGCCTGTATAAAACATGTTATAAGCATCAGAAAGTGTTTTCTGGCTCACGTCAGCAAGCATGTAAAATTACCACTGAAAACAAGATCAATACGCTGCAAACCTCATGCACATTTTTTTTGCTACTCAAAGACTAAGATGTCACAAGGTCATGCATGTAATATTGTTTGTGGTAAGCAGGCATTTTATTTATCCATATTAATAGTAAAACTTTTTGTTGTGTAAAACCATTCTTATTACCTGGAGTCTTAACCAGTCCAGTCTCATCCCTTGGAAGTCAAATTCCTCACCCTCTTCCACTGCAATGAGATCAGGAAGTTGGAATAACAGAGGCAGGTTTAACCATCAGGGGGTCACAGAGCACACGGCTCCGGTGCTTTCTGGACTTCATGATGTTCCAAAATGAAGAAAAGTGACATTTCCTGCTTTTAATCTATATTTTCTAAAAAATCATAATGGACCTTTTCTTAGATAATGAACGTCTTGTGAGACAGGGCAGAGTGACAGCTGCAAAAGGCACAAAGAGCATGTGCAAACCTTGTTTTACGGTCATGGCGGACAGACTGGACACGAAGGAGGTCATCAGGATGGACTCCTCCTCAGGACAGACAGACAGGTTCTGCAAAGGGGACAGGCTCTTAAATGACATTTTGATTCCTGGATTTAGAACTGGACTCTACAGTAGATGTGGAATTGGCAAAGGGACTAGGGGAATTTTTCTCTCCCCAGGACAATGAAAATTTGTGCTTGACTTTAACCACTGACTCCCAGTTTTATCTTCTTACTATTTTTCAAAAGAGACATTTGCTTGTCTGTAAACCAGGCAACTATTTAATCTTCATCCTGTCTTTTGCTTTGAAGTTCACTTACATTATCCGGTTCACATGTAACCTCTGACATTGTTTTATCTAAAAAGCACGTCTCATACCGCCTCTTTCTTCAGACTACAGTACTATTATTGTCTCTCCTTGGTACACAGATAGGATTGATTTCCTGTATTTTCCCATTGTGCTTAAATCCATAAGTAGTACAGCTAGACTTGCATTGGTCAGCATACTATGGGGTTGTCTTGGTAATTCTGGTCCTGGTACAAAAGCTATAGAAGGTGGGTGACATTTTTCCCGTAGATGGAAAAAATTGAGAGTTTGGGGGTGCTTGTAATGCAACAGGGCTTTGTACAGTACATGTGCCTTGTGCTCTGGGAAGAGGAACGAGGGCTGTTTTTGTTCGGGTGACTCTAGTGTACCTGGCAAGGATAGTTCTGTATGTCTGGCATGTTGGAAGGCCCTCAGGACTCTACCTGCATGGTGTCGTTGAGTGCCAGGGCATCGAACTGCGACAGGTACTGCAGATGGTAGCGCTGCAGCACGCGGGTGTGCAGACGGAGCATGGAACGCATCTTGTCGATGTAGAACAGCAGCTCTGCCATCTGCCTGTAACCGAGAGGTCACACAGCCGGTTTAGCACGAGTTCACCCACTCTGCTTTCTCACTGCCCTGTCTAAGAGTCTAGGGCGGTCCAGTGTCTGAAAAGAGATGGGCTTCTTAACCCCTGTTCTAGTCTCTGGAAATTTCTTGGATCACAAGTGGTCCATTTAGCATGGGAAGAATGCTGCAGAGCACACATTCCATACTGAGGATTTGTTCATTTATTTTCTTGTGCTTGTTTGTTCCGGGACATTGGGGATCAACAGGCCTGAATGGGCTTATCTGTAATCTGGTGTCCCATCCTTTGTAATCTGAGCTGCCTTGTCTTTTGCATTTTTTTTTTATATTAAGCAGAGGACATTATAGTGTGCATTGGCACCTCAACAACTGTGTTCCAGAAATGAAATGCTGATCCATCACTGCTCAGTATTGAATGGTGGGTTCACTGTATATCATGGACTATTACACAACAAAACGTTTGTCTTCCTGGGATTTGTATTAAGAAGTGGCATAGTTTAGAAAATCCATTATCTGCCGAGGGCTGGAACAGTTCACAACATTGTAGGTCTTGTTTATTTGTTTGGCTGTGCTTTGATGTGGTAATGGAGACTGAGGGAGGCAGAGTGCACCAGATTGTGAAGTGACCGGGACTGAGAGAGTGAGAGTGATTGGCAGGGGAAGGCAGTAGGGCTGTGTTTCACTCACGGATCCACGTAGTCTTCTGGGGTCTTGGTCTTGGGAACATTTTCAGCATGCCGAACAAGCCAGAGTACTTCATCACGGGAGAAGGACAGAGCCATGAACACAAACAGGGCCTAGAAAGAAGGGGATGGAGGGGGAGCATCTGTCCCATCAGTGAGAGGGCTCTTGTCATCTTCGGTGACAGCACTTTCTTTAAACCGTATTGTTAAAGGATTGTCAATTCCATACTGCAATTTACATTTCACATTCTAATGCGGGTTACACTTGACAATAATTACTATGGTACCAGCCTGAACTTGGATTTGATTAATAAAAGAGGAACATATTACTTCCAAAACTGAGGCTGGAAACAGAGAGAGAGAGAAAAGCACCAGTTATAGAAATAGTGGCTTTTCAAGTGCCCTGGCCCCTTATTGTGCATCACAGCAGTACAGTACAGCATCACATGTATATTAATGATTCTACTGGCTTTTGCAAGCAAGCTATGGGCTTGTCCAGTCCAGAATGGAGCTCCAGCTTGTTGTACTCCAGTGGAACCATATGACATCATCGATGAATCACACTGTGTAACCTCTAACAGTGTCAAGCAGTCACCTTGGGTCCGAGGAGCCCGGGTTCATCCTCCAGGATGTTGGTGAGCTCCTTCACAGCGTTCCTCAAGAAGTTCCTGCGTTCACGATGCATAGCCCCACTGCAGACAGGCACACAGAGTAGGGGGTTTCATAGGAAAAAAGAAAAATTAAGCCTTGTGGCATAATTTAATATTCTTTAGTAAAAACACCTGAAAAGCTACGAATCCAGATACTGTATGAATTCAAGGACCTGGCTAGTTCTTGCTAGGCATCTAGAGAAACTAAACTTTCCAAGTCTCACCTCGTTGTTATGGCTTGTTCCCTGCTTTCTTTAATATCGGTGATCCGTTTGCCATATCTGTAATGGAGCAAAAAACGCCAATTAGAAAATGTTATCTTTCCTGCTGTGTACTGATCCATGTTCGTATGTGGCCCTCTAGTGGCAGACAATGTTATTGTATTAAATTTGATTCCATCCGGTTTCTAACCACTTTGCGGAGGACCCGGAGACTGTCTCGCCAAGCAGTAGGCACAAGGTGGAGTCCATCCTGGCGCCACCCTAAATTGGTATTTTTTGTTCTTTTCCCGCACTTGATTAGATAATCACATGTGATTACAAAGAGGTTATAATTCAGAAGAGAAAATGTTTAATCTTTGTTTTTCCAACAACATTTTAGAAGAAGCCATTTTAGGCACCCCTTTTTAGTTTTCTGTTTAACATGACACAGGGCACAGAAAGAAAGTGTCCTAAGGTGACACTTAACTTCTCGTATGTGCAATGAACAGAATTTATCGATTCAGACTAGAGATAACGTGATTCCCCTCAGGGGCTGGAGCCACTGGGGTGAAGTATAACAGCAGACTGTGCAAACAGGGATTTGAACCCACAACCTGTCACTCACGAGCCCACAGAGTTTCCTACAATGCTGCCCTTCCCCGTTTAAACATAGTGAGCCGTGGTATTTCCTGTACCCCTTAAGTGTGTCGAAGAAGTCTTCCGTGGCCTTGTGGAAGTGGAGCACCTCGTCACGGATCAGGGTGATGCACAGCCCGCTGCGCAGGGCCATTTTCCACAGGTCCTGGGAGGGCGGGTTTGTGTTGAGGCTGCTGTGGCAGAGCAGGAAGCCCACTGCAGGAGAGAGAGGGCAGCTCAGGACAGTGTCCACAGCTCTTATAACATCAAATGGTCATAGATTGACTCTTTACAGATACAAAGACAAGTACGGATTCCAAGGCTTATTGGAGTCTTTTAATCTCTTCAGACCATTTAAATTTAAATGTGATTGTTCTAGCTCTTATTTCTAGAAACCCAAATTTCTTTTTGTCATGCTGCCTGCTTGTGTTGGGCATTTTGGTGACTACATTGCTCTTTTCAACTTTGACCCTTCATCTGCTCAGTTTACAGCACCGTTCCCCAAACGAGCATGTCCCTGTTCCACACAGCTGGGACTTACAGATGATCCAGCGCTCCATCACTTCTATAGACAGGTACTCGCATGGTATCTGGGGGGGAAAGGACACTTCTTTCAGTTCTCTTTCTTTACAAATGCATAATAGCTGAGGTGGTTGAGATGCATGGAATAGTGTGAACACACTGCACTGTGTTGTTCAGGAAAAAAGGATGCCTAGTGATGGAAGAGAGGAGTGAGGCTCATTGTGAGACACAAGATTCGATTGGTTATTCCTTGGCCATGCAGAAACCATTCTATAGTCTTCAAAGTGTGGATGGCTGCAGCAAATACCAACATAATCAGCAAGTGGTTTCCAGGAAATGGCTTTTCTTGGTCCCGTAACACTGATTTGCTCCCATCCCAGGAGATCACAGCGTCTGCGATGTGGTTACTGGTGTCTCAGCCGGCCCTGCTGACTCACCGTGTCGCAGCTGGCAGGGCTCAGCATGGCGGCCGGCGCGGAGAGCAGGCTGAGCAGCTGGGCGCTGCGCCACTGTTCGGCCGGGAGGTTCCGGCGTGGGTACACCAGCCGGAGGGACAGCAGGGCCTCCGTCACAGACTGTGGAGGGGAGGACACGAGGACAGTAACATCAGCTCTGGCTCTGGCAGAAACGGAGATTCCAGATCAAAGGTAGGTCATCTCACCTTGGTGTGCGGCCCGAACTCCTCCGTCAGCTTCTTCCAAGGATGATCATACTCCAGGAGCATCTGCCCAAGACGAGGATATGCTGGATCGCTGCAGCACAAAACAGAGCATTGGGTTTGAGAGGGAAAAGTTGTGCTTGAAAATGGTTTAGCAGTCAAAGAGGTTTGAGAATAACCAAAGAGGTCTAGAAATGTGCTGAGCAACCCTTTTGAGGTTCTCTGACCCTGGGGAAAGTCAGTAATTCAAGCACGGTATTATCTGCTCATCCACAGCATTTCTTAGGCTTATGCTGTAGACAAGATGATATCTTTTCAAGCCATGATTTGTGCTACAAGAGGTCATCTTTCCTGCTGCTCCTAAATAAACCAGTCCCTGCATTTTTCATGTTCCTCTTATCGTGTCTTAGGAAGAGGGGTCCCAAACAGCAGGACATCACGTTGCATGGTGTTGCTATGCTGCATGCTGTTCTTTCTCACACATCAGCTTCTTAGTTATGCATACAAAAGTGTATCAAGTATGCCATCACCCAGGTGTTTGTTTTCTAACCTATAATAATCATTAAAAGTCTTTGCATGAAAAAAATGTAAAATAAAAATTGTAGGTGTTGTGGCTGTACACAGCCTTTACAGTAGCACAGAGGATTTGCCACCTGCTTCAATCAACCCAATCACAATCGGAGAGAGGCGTTTGTGAGCAATCTTCTCTGAACCATATTGAAGCTTGGAGCATTGCAGACATTTACAAACCTGCCGTTTGTAAGTAGGGCGCTAAATTAAGAGAAGTCATCGAACAGTATATGAAAACCTTCTTGTATTAGAGATTGAAACCCTACTGTTAAATTCCAGATTTGAAAGATGGATTTAAAGGTTTTTGGCATCAGAATATGGCAGCGCAGTGGTTTGGATTGCTGCCTCACAGCACTGGGACCGTGAGTTTCATTCCAGACCTGTGGCGATCTGTATGGAGTTTATATGTTTTTCCAATGTTCCTGTGGGTTTCCTATGGGTGCTCTGGTTTGCTCCCACAATCCAAAGGCATACTGGTAAGTTAATTGGCTTCAGGGAGAATTGGCACCGGTGTGAATTTGTGTGTGTGTCTGTGTCTGTGTATGCCCTGTGATGGACGGGCATCCTGCCCAGGGTGTACCCTGCCTTAAGCCCCTGCAATTGGAAGAAGCAGTCAGAAAATCAATGGATGGAAGGCATCAGAGTAATAAACCTAGTATTTATACTGTACACACACACACGATTAGCATTTTATATACAGTACACACAACTCGCAGTGTACAAAAGAAGTCCTATGACACTGCTGGGAAGAATGTCTTCAGTAATGAGCTAATTCTGGAATTAAATGGTAATTGATAGCAAATGCCCCTTTAAGGGTGGAAGTGCTGCCTCCCCTCCCTCCATGTTTTGGGTTGTGTGACGCCCACCTGGTTCCATTGGACATCTCGTGTGCACAGTTGTACATCCCCACCAGCACTTTCTTCTCATCAATGCGGGAGAGCATGAGAATGACAGAGGTATAGGTCACAATCAGGTCCAGGTAGTTCTTCGTGAAGTCGAAGTTCACTGACTGGAGTAGACGAGAGGGAAGAGAGGAAGAATTGCATTTATTTTTTCCTTTTCATTCTGCAATTTAAAATAGTAGAGAAATGTTGCAATGTACAGTACAGGGCACTAGCATGTTAAGAGTAGCACTTCCATATTTGCTTAAACATTTTTAAGCATGAGCGTTTGTGTTAGGTCCTGCATGAGGCATGCCACAAAGCCAGGTTTCTGGACGCTGTGCTTTTGTCTGCTCAGTATTGCTTGGTTTTGCCTCACTTTAGGTTTATGGCACATGATGGAAGCTCCGAATAAGAAAATAGTGTGCAATTCATAAATCATATACAATTTTATGTAACTGAATTTAGAAGAAATATGAATTTGCTGACTAACCTAGCTCCCAAAAACTAGCTACAGTACATCACACCCTGCATATGTCATTTGATGTTCAGTGTCCATTACTTTGGAACAGAATTGTCTTGGCTCCAGTACTCACAATGTCAAAGAAACACTGGCATGCGTCTATGGTGTTCAGGAGTTCATAAACATGATCCTAAAAGACATAAAGCAATCACATGTTAAATTATCTCTTCCTGGGAGGTTTAGGACAGAGCAGAATATGAAATAAATAGCACAGTCCCAGCCTAGAGTAAATGGTGTTAATCAAGTGACAAAATGCTTTTCATATGGGAATGAGTTGCATGTAAAATTCATTTTGAATGTACTAAAGACGTCCATCAAAATGGAAACAAATGGCATGTCTCTGTAGTTTACTGATTTATTTGGAAAAATACGAGCTTTAAGAATTTTTTAGCCCTTGTTCAGTGGCAGAGTTACAATTGGTACAGCCCTCATGGTTGAGTTAGTTCCCTCCCGAGTGGAAAAGCAACGAAAGCCCCTGGAGCTCTCCCTCTCTAAAGCCCCCCCACCCACCCCTACCCCAAATCCACAATATCCAGTACTGTATGCATGTTTAAATTTAGATTTTAACCTCATTTCTTGGCTGTACTTTATCTTTAGTCATCTTCATGGTGGACTTTAACACAGTCCTGCTCCTGGAGGGCTGGTGTGTCTACAGGTTTCTAGGCCTGTCGGGTTCTTGATGGCATAAATCAGCTCATTATTGTCTTAACTAAGCCAATCTACCAGCTTCTCCCAGCTCTTCCAGTGTTAGAACTTGAAATACGCCTGGAAAACTTGCAGACACACTGGGAGCAGGATATAGGAACCCTGATTTATATAGTCTGAGACTGAGCTTCCGCATTTTGGCTCTATCATCCCTTAGTCCCAATGGCTCTGCATGAGCAGAACATTAGGACACAATTCATACAGCCCAAAGGATGGGAAAATCTTACCCTGAACTCCATCACATCAAGGAAGGACTGATAATAACTGGTCAGGACTCTCAGGACTTCGGATTTTTCCTTCTGGATATTGCTCAGGTGTTGCTGTAGTCAGTAATAAAAAAAAGAAACAGGAATCTCATTTTGTTAAGTTAATGCAGGTGTAGCCAGTTCCAGTCCCCAAAAACCACTGCGTATTTCGGACTGTTAATCCTTCGAATTACTGATGTTTACGATACTCAGTAGGTCTTTAGTGTGGGAGGTTTGGCAGTAGGTACAGTAGTTAATTGATCCTGGGATCTCATTCTGCCATTTCTTTTAAGAAATTAATGGATATCTCCTTCAACAACATGACTGGGTAGCTTGTTCCTTATTCCCACAACCCGTTTTATGAAGAATTGCCTCCTCTTCTCTTCTTAAATGCAGTGCAATGCACTTTCCATTTGTCCCTCTGGTTCGTGTTTCACTGTTGAAATCCGATGGGTTGTCTTTGTCATTGCCTTTGAATACTTAGAAATTCTCAGGTCCCCTCGTAAACTTTTCTGTTCAAGACTAAAATTTCCTGTTAGTACCGCCATGTGTTTCTGTTGGTCACAAGAAGATAACACCCATATGAATTATTTCCCCTGAGAATTTACTACAAATGGACCTCTTGTCCATTCTCCCGATGGGCACTCCAGCCTGGACCTTCACACTTCAGCATCAGTACCCCAGAAGCTCCCCACTGTCTTGTTGAGGTGTCACTACCTTGTTCTCCAAGATTGTGACCTCAGATGACAAGACACAGGTCACGTATTTAGACCAGCTTCAAACCTACTGATAACAGTTATACTCTTTATAAATGAAGTTCATTAATTCCTTTCTGAGTTTTTCTTTATTGATTTTTTTCCAGGCTTGCATTCTATGAGTTAAATCATCTGTGCTCAATCGAAGTCATAACTAATGAAGTGCTTTAACATTTACAAGTGTGTCGTGGTTAGTCACGGATGATCAGATCATCAAAATGGTGCCAAAAATAACGAATTCATATACATTGTCTAAAAACACGCATGCATAAATATTAGTTTTCTTATGATGCTCAGTATAATGATGTGGCTCTGTAGTTATCTTCAGCTGAGTCAGTTAAGCTGTTAAGGAAAGAAAGTTTGCTGTCGTTTTGATTTAGGGTTCACGCCACATCTGTTCCAGGCTGGAGCCAGACTGTAAAGAGTTTGCAGAATTCCAACACTTGTGGGTGTGTACCAGAGCGACACTAATGAAATGCTTTTGGTATATTCCATCGTGTGAAAGCTTGGTTAAAGACTGGTGTTGCTGGTGGTCGAGGTTAGGTCATTCTTGTGTCTTAATGAGCTGAAAACTAAAGACGGGGATAGAAATTAAATCTGCTTCAGGTCCCAGAACTTACACTGTTTCCTCTGAAATCAATGGAGGGAAACTTCTTGTTGATGTATTTGATGGCTGGTTCCATGCTCTTCTCCATGAGGCAGGGGGGCTTGAGCCTGGGGTCCGAGCAGGTCTGGGGGAAAAAGAGGAGCAAGTTTAAAGCAGGAATCCGTCGAATTGATTGCGCGCAGAGTGTCTGCGGGCATGAGCGTGCTCAGGGGTGCAGTGTTGAGTGACTGATAGCCTTGCCTTGAGAGTTACAAGTTACAGCAGCATGCAAAGTACAGTACATTTATATAGTCTTTTGAGACGAGAGTGGACCGCAAGGCTCTTGGTGAAAATGAAAAGGCCGACGCACAGCTTGTGTTGAGGATTCATCATGGGTAAGAATATAGCCTTTCTTCTCATTTAATTTAAAAGGAAAATCCTGGATTCATCAGCCACCATTGTTTTCAAAAACATTGTTGGAATTGTCTGATGTAGTAAACCCTGTGGAGCAGCCCTAGAGCCAGAGTTGTACAGTACTAGAAAACCTGCTCAGGCCAAACTACCAAGCTGTTAGGGGCTTTTTATTTCAATACTGGTACAAGTAAAAATGTGATCCAAAGCAGTTTAAAATAGGAGTGACATGGTCTCTGATTATATTTCTCTGGACTAAGTGTAATAACCTAGCCATGGGCCTGTGCCTTGTTTTCTAAGAAGTGTTGACATCCCCTGTGTTAAATGGGATAGAGTTCAATGAGAGAGCTGTAGGCTCTGATCACACCTGATTTCAGAGCAGTTTAGTTTGAAACTGTTCACAGATCTTGGTTATCTAATCCAAAGAAATAATTGACAACATATGGAGTTTGTTACTGAAGATTATTGTTGTTTTTCAGTATTTATTTGAAAAAGACTATGAGAAGCATGCCAGTGAGAATGAACATGATTAACTCTGGAATGCATGCCAGTTTGGAGGCTAAACTATAATTCCTAAAGAAAGTACTAAATATGCATTGTGAACCAAGCAGAGCTCTAGCTCAGTCTTACTGTCTTACTCTTTGCATGTTTTAGTTGTAATACCCAAGCCCTAAACTTTAGTGCGCTTTAGGACACTAAAGGCCTGCATGCACACACAAGTTGTTACCCACAGAACACTCAATGCATAAATGAGCACAGCTATTTCAGCCTTCTAGCTCAGCGTACTTCTTCAGGAGTCATGAGCAGAGCGATCATGGCTAAGTGCAGTGCTGTTTGTAACTGCAGAGCTGGGCATGGTGAGTTTTCAACAGCACAGCTGTTCAGGTACAGCTGCACCTGCTCCTCCAACCCCAACTTATAAACGTGCATTTTATGCCACTTTCGCAAGGAATAGCTTGACTTCTCATTTTTGCCGTTGTTTGCAAACAGAGCTTCTGCTTCCTGCTTCTACTTCCTCTTTCTGCACTGGGTGGATTTTCTGCTGCGCGATTGCACTCCGCACCATCAGCAGGGTGGGAGAGTGCAGAAGCAAGTCTAGACACTAATGATCTACTGCTGCAAAATGCCCAAACGCAGCAACACTGAAGTTTTCAGCAGGGAAGAAAGTTGACTGTTGCTTGTTCGATTGACCCAAAGAGTGTTGTGTCCTGATGTTTCTTTTTGAAAAGCCACGGTACAGGATGTAAGGAAAGCAGTACAATGAGCTGTGAAACTGTGAGATAAGACGGCATCCCTTTTTTTACACTGAGGCGGCATTGATCCGCTGAACTTACACCTTAGCGCTTAACGCCGAAAGAAATAGAAGCTTTGAAAAACATAGGAACCGCGCTGGACCTGTTCCGACTGAAAAGTAAATCTTGCCAAGACAACCCTGTCGGACCTATAGGGATCGGGGTGAAGAGTTGTCTCTGCCTCTGTCAGTTCGCTGTACTGCGGCCCTCACGCCCCCCCCTTCAGCCAAAGGCTCCCTTCTCTTTCCTCCACAGTCTCCTCGCCTTCCCTTTTTCAAAGCACATCTCATTGTTCTGAAAGCACAGGCCCTTTCTCTGACCTGATTGTGTATCATTTAACAATTGGCTCAGACACAGCGGATGACAAGGGAACACTGTGGAAGCGAATCTCAGGATATGGTGGCTGTTTTCGTTTAGAAGCCTTTCAGCAAGCAGCAGCAGCACAGTGGTGCAGTTTGCCTTTTGACCGAGGCCCTGTATGCAACCTGCAAACTGAAGGTTATCAATTCACACTGACTTAATCAATTAGCAACAGGTGTTCCTAAGTTATTAAACATCACTCAAGGCTCCCATTGCCCCTGGCCCCTCGCCCCCCACCAGTACAGGGCAGAGTGATCTCTTCCCTCACCTTTTTGATGTAGTACATTCGGACCAGCACCCCCCTCCCCCTCTCGTTGAGGATGGTCAGCTTCTCGGCCAGTTTGAGTTGGTAGCTCATGGTCCTGGACATGGTCTGTCAGTCCCCGGGGGTTCAGCTTTATACCCTTTATCAGCGTTGATCAGTCCTCCCACAGGTCACCACAAAGACTGTGCAAACTCATTCCACCCAAATTAGGAATGGGAGGAGACCCACCCTCAGTCAAGTTCTAAGTTTACATTTCATTGGATGAGCCTTGGTACGGTTGCTGTTACCGCTTTTCTGGTTGGCCGAGCTCCTCTACCCCTTCTCTGGATCCTATTGGCCAGCAGGGTAAGAAGACGAGACGAAAACCACGGAAACGGTGTTGCTGGCGTCATGGCTTCCTGTGGGCTAGAGCACGCTCACACAACCTTCTCTGTGCAGAACTGACAGGAGGGTTTGGGGGAGAGACTGGTTAAGTGTTTAAGAAGCCTTAATCAGCTTTGCTGGTGCAACTAACTTGTAGCCATTTTGCCCTGAAGTGCAGGTTGGTGTGGTTTGATTTTTTTTAAGACCCTGCATCAGCTAAACAGAGCCACTGGCATTGTCAGATCTGCCATCCCTGGAGTGCATCAGTGAGCCGTTATTTGCCAAAAGCAGACAACTCTGCAGCAAGACACCTAAGTTACAAAACAATGACATGGCATCGGATTATTCAATTGCAATTACTCAAGAAAAGTTACAACTGCAAGGTGCCCTTCTGCCCCATCTTGCTTCTGAGGTTGCTGGTAGTTCATCGATTCAAGGGTCTTGCACAAATCGTTTCTTGAAGGATATCAGGCTATGAGGTTCAAAGGTATGGCTGGGAGCTTTGATGTAGGCTGCTACAACACTTTGCCTAAAGACTGAGTGCTGCATTTATTCCAATATAATCCTTGTTTTGGGTGTAGGTCCTTAGGGCTGGTTATCCCCAGTTACAGGCTTTTAAATACTTGTGTCCAGTCTCCTTTTTTTTTCAAGACTAAAAGGTGAACTTCTCCTAACCTATCTGCAAAAGAGATTTCTTGAAGACCAGAAATTAAAGCCTTGATACAGAGATTTGGGGCTACAATTGTGCAAAATCCAGTATGGAGGCAATACTGCTACATCGCTGTTCAGAGCCACTAGATGTCACTATTGATCAACTTTTCTAAAACGTAAAAATCACTGCTGTTTTTTCTCGAGTCATAGTTTGTATCTGATTTACACCAGCCACTCTATAGAACAAATCCAGATTGTCCTAGAGCCAAATTTACTCTCAATCACACTCCTCAGTCCTACTTGAGAGTCATAGATAGTTCAGCATTTGATCAAAAACTTTTTCTTCATATCAGATGAGGATTTTAAACACAGAACGTTTGTTCATTAATATCTACATTCCTTAAAGTTCTGCCTCTTTGTATAGCTTTTGGAAGCAAACTCATATTTATGTCCCAGGACAGTAGTGTATTTTTCTCACTCTCGTCAATATATCTCTGTCTTTTACTTGCTTATTTAGACAGGGTATTAGATGCATTTTGTTATACCCATTTAAATCATTTTTTTAATATATCTTCTGAAAGCCATCTCAAAGCACTTAACAGTTTCATTTTGTTCACATTCAACTTTATAAAACACATCACGCTCAGTCTGTTTTAACAGATGGGCAGAGATCACCTGTTCAAGGTGGCCTTGGTATAGTTTGTTCAAACTTTGATCACGATGTTCTCCAAACCAACAGAAATGTATTAAGTGCAGAAATAAACCATAGTGTGAACATATTACTAACCAAAGCACCCCTTCCTGTTAACTTTTTGTTTGTTTAATTTCTCCAGGCTGGCTGACAAATCTTTGTGGCACCATCTCTTTGTTTTGCATGGGAAAGGATGAAATGGTGATTTTCCCCCCTCTTGCTCTGATACAACAACTGCAGCCTGCAGATATTGCCTCTCTGCAGTGATACTAAGTGTAGCGTTTGGTGTGCAGTACTGCGTGCCTGTACACACCGCACCCAGCAGTCTGGGGCGGATTAACGAACAGACTGGCATAGATTGTAGCCTAGGAGTCCAGATTGATCAGGGGCCCCTGATTGGCCAGAACTATTATTTTTTATTTTTGTAACGGACCTGTGGGCCCCCATTGGTCCATAAAAACATTGAATAATTTATGAATCGATGATTGGTTCGATGCAATGGGTTCGAAGTTCAAATTTATTTCTAGTCTGCTGGATCACCATCCAGTCAGCCTGAGCCAGACCCCAACCCCGAGTTTATGGCTTACGTTGCAGCCAGTGCTACCACGGCCGCGGTTGATAGGTTAGCTGTGGCCAGCTCTAGCTTGGGCGCAGACCGCATCTGTGCTGATCACGATGACGAGCCAGCTTGTAGATTGGCTGTGTATCAGATTTAAGGTGTTAAGCCTTCCTTGCCAGGAGGGCAGAGACTGTGGTTTTTCTTAGCCACTGGGGATGAGGTGGGGCCAGAGTGCTAACAAGTTATTAATTACAGGGCAGGGGGTCCGCTGTAGTTGCAGGCTGTCTCCCAAGAGCAGAAGGGCATGTGGAAGCCAAATCTCTGTGCTGACGGATTAGCACCGCGATAGACTTCCGGACCCTCGTTCCAGTTCTCGCACTTGGGGATTATGGGGAGAATAAAGGAGGAAAACGGGCAGAGCTAAATCTCGGTTAATTGCCAGGTCAATCACATAGCAACAGAGGCGAAAGAGTGAGGAACAGAGGAGCGGGGGGGTGGCGTCACAGACACTGCTGGAATCCAGATGTGTGATGGCCTTTTCAGGTTTAGGGAACTAAGGAATTTAATCTTTAATTTGCACAGCTCACGGGAGAGCCTGTAAACCATACTTTCATGTATGGGACACTTGAATTTGTCACCTTTTGGCGGATCCGTCCATTTGTCTTTTCCTTGCAGGAGCTGTTTGATGAGTACGAAGCTCTGACGGTGCTTTCCCTCCCATCGTCCTGCTCTGCCGCAGTGTACTGTAGGCTGTACTGTACCCTGAGCTCTGTCGACGTCGACAGATGTGAAACTGGATCATGGCTCAGCAGCTCCTGCCTCCAGTGCTACAGAGCCCATCTTCCCTGTCTGTCCCTCAGTTAGAGGTCTGCCGTCCTCTGCTGTTTGTCTGGAGGAAACCGGGTCCTGAGACTCAGCTTCAGTGTTGTACTCTGGTGCCCAAACGGCCCAGAGACTGTTCCGTGTTTAAATGTTTTTGAGACAAGGCGTGGTTTGTCTTGCCCTCTTGTACGCCCGCTGATAAGAGCCATAATGAGTCTATGGCATCTACAGCAGTCGGCTGTAAAGGGTCAGTAGTTGTAGAGTAAATGTACCCCCTGTAAATTGTGGGTCAGTAATTTTCACTTGAGGCTTCACATAACTACTAGTACAGCAAAGGTTTATGGGGGTTTCGCTGATTAGTCACATTCCTAAAAAAATTGAAAAATAAGAATTACAGTCTATTTACTTTTAATTTTTTTTAAGTTGAGACTTGAAGTGTAAAGTGACATCCTGTGACGGATTGATTCCCACGTACCTAAAAAGTTTTTGTACCTCTCTGATTTCCACACGTGTGTGCTTTACTGCTATTCTTTGTGGATTGGCTCCTCCTCCACGGCCAGTTATAAGCAATCACCTCTAATTGACGATGTGTAAATGGGTGAATTTCTCTGGGCAGTGTAGAAGCCCCTTCGTCTGTGTGCACCTATTCTTCTGTGTGTCCTCAAATAGAAACTACTGACCCAAACCACTGTGCCTCCAAATGTGCTCCTGTGTTTTGTGACTTCTGGGAAAAGAAGTTCAAATAGATTTTCACCTGAGATTATTATGTCAATTAAAATCACTGGGAGGTCAGCTTGTCAATACTGATCCTAATTGAGGTATCCCACTGTGTAAGAAAAAAATGATTTGCTGCAGGATCACAGCCATGTCTGTCTTCGTTTGTGTGACTCAGTGGAAGACCTGGGACGTCCCAGCAGCATGGAGATACAGTACAAATCTCCATTCCTGGCACACCATCACAGACTGTTAAGAAAGCCATAGGTCTGACATCAGGCGCTCCATGGAGAGGTAGTCTGATCCACTTTAATGCCTGTGAAGAAGGCAGCCTTTCTGGAGACAGGGCCCAGGAGGGAAGATTGGGTAAGCCCTAACAATTAAGCAAATCTCCTGTGCTGTCTGTATTCAGGGTTTTGGTATGGGATAGTGCATTGGTATAATATAATTTATGTTCACCCCTTCAAGTGATCGGAGCCGTTCCTCTAGTGCTGACCTTAGAAAAGATGGATTGAAGGTCTTTGCGAACAGGAGTTTGGTGTCAGTTGATTGGTTGGGCTAGATAGGGACATGAACAATTGTCATGTTTGAGGGCTTGTCATTGAGCCTTGTGTAACACATCATAACCTCAGGGCTTGATTTCTGCAACTCTTTATTCCATGGGCTTCCTAACACTCTTCTCAACATGTCCAAAACTCTGCAGCTAGACTTCTATCTCACACCAGATCCTGGCCACATATCACTCCTGTCTTTACATCGGTTGCCTATAAAGCCACATATTCAATATAAGGTCTTGTTACTGACTTTCAAGGCTCTGAATAATCTGGCTCCATCGTTCATTTCTGAACTCCTTCATGTTTACACTCCCTCCCGAAGGCTCCATTCAGCTGAGGCTGGTCGTTTGCTCACTGGACCCAGGACTTTTGGAGACCTTTTCTGTCACTGCTCCACTGTTATCGAATGCCCTTCCTCAGACCCTCTTCAAATCCAAACTCAAAACTCGCCTATTTACCAGGGTGTCTCCGCTTGTCCTTCATTCTCTCTGTACGCTCGTTTATTTTTTCTTTTGCCTTTTATTGTAGTTTTTTCTTTTTTACTATGTTATAGTGTCCTTTGGTTTGGAAAGCCACTTTATAAAAATGTCCCTATTATTGCTGTGTAGCACAAGAAACATCTTAATGGCATAGTAAGGTCAGGGGTATTGGAGATAAATATCCCAGCCGACAGAGAGGTAATCAAAGAAATAATTGGAATTTCTGTGTGTTATCCGTACAATTTTGTTATGTGAGTATTGGTCTTTGAATTATAAGGCCCTGCGGGGTGTGCTTCGGTCCACCTGTGTTGTGGTTTTCCTGTGCACTACCTACAGACAGGGTGTGTCTACAT